AGGGGAAGAGGAAACAGGAGAAGGAAAGGGATAGAAAGAATTTGAAGAATTAATGACTAAATACTTCTCAAATTTGATGAAAAACCTAAATCTGCATATCCAAGAAGCTCAATAAACTTCAGGTAGGACCAACAAACCTAGACACACAGTTAAACTGTTGAAAGCCAAAGAAAGCGGGGCTCGGTGGCTTAGCCTATAATCCCGTGCTTTGGGAGGCCGAGGTGAGTGGATTTCCTGAGCCCACAGGTTTGAGACCCACCTGGGCAACTTGGCGAGACCTCATCTCTACAATAAATCAAAAAAATTAGCCGGGCGTGGTAGTGTGCATCTGTAGATCTGGCTACTTGGAAGGTTGAGGCGGAAGGATCGCCGGAGCCCAGCAGGTCGAGGCTGCGGTGGCCGGGAGTGCCCACTGCACTCCAGTCTGGGCAACAGAGTGAGATTCCAACTCAAAAAAAAAAAAAAAAGAAAGCCAAAGAAAAAGTGAAACTCCTTAACGCAACCAAAAGGAGGGAGACTCATCATGTGGGAGGCATGGTCAATAACATTAATAGTTGATTTTTCATCAGGGAGCATGGGAGTCAAAATATTAGAAGGAAGACTGTCACCCAAGTCCATATCCAGCAAAAAACTATCCTTCAAAATAAAGAAAAAATTAAAACATTCCCCAATAAATAAACAAATAAGAGCATTTGCTGCTAGCATATCTTCCCCATAAGATATAGTTAAGTTAGAGACTTCATTACCTCACTTTCAATAATGGACAGAACGACTAAACAGACATCAACAAGGAAATAGAACATTAAAGCAACACTATTAACCAACAAGACCTAACAGACATCTACAGAACATCTATAGAGATTAAATTAGTAATCAAAAAACATGCCACAAAGTAAAGCCCAGGTCCAAATAACTTCACTGGTGAATTCTATAAAACATTCAAGGAAGAATTAATAAAAATCCTTCACAAACTCTTCCCAAGAAAAGTTAAATGATTACTTCAATCTATGTGGTCCTGAAACCAAAACAGTCAAAGGTATCTGAAGTAAACTACAGACCAGTATTTCTTGAGAATATACACTCAAAAATCTTCAACAAAATACTAGCAAACAAAGTTAGCAACATATAACAGGATTATACACCATACCAAGTGAGATTTATCCAAGAGATGCAAGGTTGGTTCAATATCTGAAAATCAGTCAATATAATACACTGTATTAACAAAATGAAGGAAAAAATATTACCTCAATAGATATAGAAAAAGCATTGACAAAATTCAACACCCTTTCATGATAAAAATACTCAACAAACCATGAATAGAAAGGATTCTTCAAACTGATAAAGAGTATCTAAGAAAAACCCACAGCTAGCAATACTTAACAGCAAAAGATTGAACATTTGCCCCCAATATCAGAAACAAGACATAGTTATTGGTTCTGGCCACTCCCATTCAACACAGTACCAGAAGTTCTAGCCAAAGTAATAATGCAAAAGAAAAAAAGAAAAGTAATCAGAATGGAAAGAAAAAAGTAAAACTATTCTCAAATGACCTATCTTGTATACAGAAAAATCCTAAAGAATGATGGAGCCAAACGGTTAAACGAATCATTTACGTGAACAATGGAGCCACTCAGGACTACAGAGAAACTTATAATGAGGGAGAAAAGTAAGCCAAGGACCAAGATTTTTGCGAGCTGCTAGTAGGGACCAATAAGAAATTGATACTGCCAAAGGCCCTAAGTCCCAAGAAATGAAACTTTAAAACTTCCTTCACAAGTGACAATGAGGAATGAGGACAAAGACCCCATTTCTGAAGAGTAAAGTCCTAGAGTGACTGGAAAATCAGAATTCTTCATGTAAAAATATTATCGGGAAAGAGTTAGGTTTCAGTTACCATCAGGAGAATGTAGGTAAAGAGATCAAGAAAGCGAGTTTGTTAGAATATTAGAGAATTATGGATAGCATAGTAACAAGGTATAGAAAAAAAGAAGGTCCAGGGAGAAAAGAAGAGTAGATGATTGGGCCAGGTGAAAAGAGAGAGTAAAATTATGATGAGAACATGAGTGAATGTAGATCAGTAGTTCCTAACTACCAGTTTTCCCAACACTCCAAGTTTATGCATAAGGCGAGATCCTATAATTAATCATGACAATAATGGTAGTTAAGAGACAGAAAGGAAAGAAAATCAACTCTCAAGAAGTTATTGAATGGGAAGAAGGACTTTTGCATATGCAGTATTTTAGTGAAAAGAGTAGCTTTAAGGTATGCTGAAGTAAGGCTTGTCTCAAAGGAGGTTTCTTTTTGTACCACCCATACCATAACTAACTCTGGGGGATCTAGATGTGTCAAATCCAGCATAACCGCCTCAAATCTTGAGAGGATCAATAAACTAGTCAACCTATAACCATTCACAACAAACCAGTGTGCCTCAGCCCAACTTCTGGGAAACTCTATGCTAAGTCAAATTAACAATCCCTAAGAATGCGGTGTATTTTTGACTCCTCACTAATAATCACTGGTGTGGATGATCCAAACAATACAGCCCCCTAAAATACACTGTGTAGAAAAGATTTGTGATCACATGTTTTAGGAAATGGCTACATATTTTATCTTTTATCATCTTTTGCAAATTCATAGTATAACATTTACACATAAAGACACAATGGAGTCCACTATTTAAGGAAAAAAACTTAATTTGCTCATTCTCTTACTCATTTGACCAAGCAATCTCCCTTTTCTACACCTCCTGACATCCAAGAAACACAGTTTTAACTTTTCTGACAGGTAACTACATAAACAGCCTCAGTTTGATCATTTCCAAGGACAGATATGATTACCACTACCTACAGGTATTTCAATCCTTTTTTTGGACAGTCTGATTAATAGCCTCACTTTAAGCTGAAATTTGCCACCCTTTATCTTAAACTGCATATATGATCATTTTGCTATCTAGAGTTAGAGATCATATCTACTCATTACCCCAATTCAGCTATGGTAAACTTAAGATAGATCTCTGAAAATGCCATCCTCTTTCATACATGCCTTTGTATCTGCTGCTTTTTTCATCTCCTATAGAAATCACTCCTCTGCAATCCATAGTCATACTTTTACAATCAGTTTAACAGTAACTTCCTTTGTACTTCACTATCCTAAACAAAAAACAGCTGTTGTACACTCTTGGAGTCCCTTATATATCAACTTATCGAGACATCCATCATCACTGTACTGCACTGACATCACACTATAACTGTCTACATTCCTGTCTATCTCACAGACTCTGCATATCCAGCAGCAAGAAGTATACACTAATCATCTTTACATGGGATAGAACAGGCACATGAATCTTATACCAACTCATAAGCACAAAGACTCCTACTGAGCTTACTCACCACAGAATTATTTTTATCATCTTCAACACAATGTTCCAAGAAATTATCATCAATCCATAGTTTTCACTTCTCACACCATCTCCAAATCCAACCCCAGCTTGAGAAGTTAGCACAGTGTTCACCATATTTCTCAATGAATGTTTGTTAAATAGATGAACAAATCTTAAGAACAAGCAATGGTTCTTGTTTTAATTACACTTATACATTTTCATAAATTGGCCTTAAATTTACCTTCTTATAAACTATAAGAGATTAGAGAAGTATAATTTTCATTATCAGTAATGAAAACTGTCTTACATCAGGTTCTTGACTGATAATGCCAACTATCTGATGTCCATTTCTTATCAAAAGTTCAGATATGAGAAAAAAAACAGTCAAAATAATGCCTGGAAGAATATATACTCTAAGCAATCTACCAAATCTTCTCAATTACATCTTTGCATTGAATTATACCAACAGGATTTTTAGTTGCACCTCATTGGTCCATGATCCCCTGAGGAACTTATTTTTCTCACTTGGACTGAAATTCTTGGCAGTTTGCCCTGAAAAACATAACTTTAAAAAAAAAAACTTAAGAAATGTATTTCTATTTCTACGTTGGGAAGCTGAGGCCTGTCCACCAAATCACTATGTTTTCTCCATCTAAAAATTCACACAAACAACCTCACTCAGGTTTCTTTCTCCAAACAATTCAGGAGAAACACACCCTTTATCTTATGCAAGCTATGTATCTTGTAATGAATCAAATTTTATTCTTTGCTTTTGCTGCAAAGAATCTTAGAATCAATTTTTTTCCTCACTTAAGGAATAATATGGGACCATAAGGTTTCCTTTCATCATTTCTTTATCCTAGTCATATTATTTGTATTTTAAAGTGTGCTCCAAAATCATCTCAAATCCCTTTAAAATGAGATGAGAAAGTGAAAAAAAATAACTTCTACTGAGTGCCTACTATAAATCAGACATGGTTCCTGGCACTTTTATCCTCTAACACTGAGAGAAAGGTACTATTAACTCTTCTACAGATAGTAATATGAACTAGAGAGGGGTTAAATAAATTATCTAAGTTTGCAAAGCTAACCTGTGCCAGGCCAGGTTTTGATCCCAAGTCCCATTACACATAAGATCTGGTCAAATTAAAGACTATCTTGTACTTCATAAAGGAAAAGACTTCCAGCATTGTACAGTAGGTTCTTCTGTTTCTAATAGTACTTGTGAAACTTTTAAATTTCAACTTACTATATAAGCAAAAGAAGACAAATCACATGACACTAATTTTAAATACTATTATTTAGAAAAACCACAACCTTTAATAAAGTCAGTATTTAATCGTTCTCAAATGAGAATCAGAAAATCACACCACAACTTAAAATCCAAATAGCAAATATAAATAGAATATTTATATTTATAATAAAGCAAACAAAAAAATAAAGATTGTTTTAGAAAGAGTTGGACCTATTATGCCAGTCAGTACCACATATAACTTGAAGTGTTTATTGGTGCTTCTAAAAATCAAACAAAACAGGGCTTCTTGAGAGGTTCAGGGGAAGAATTATAATTCAAAATTAATCAGAGAATAGCAAATGAAATCTAAGTTAGAACAGTACTCACCTGCTCAAGTCACTTTTCCCATGGTGATGATAGTGGTCAGGATGACTGAGGTGGTAATGCTCTTGTCCACTCCACCTCTGGGGTGGCCTTTTCCAAAATCCTTCCTGAGGCTGCCGAACATTTCTGTCTGGTCTATCAAAGCGGTTCATATTGTCACACTCCACTAGACAGATACAAAAGCAAAAGACTATAAACATGTGCATACTCTATAAAGATTACCTACTTATAGCTTGATAATTAAATGCTGCTGAAAATATAAAAGTAATATTCTAAGGATACCAGCCATTTATGTGAGCTAATCACAAAAATCAAGAGTTACAGAATAATCAGTTATTTTGGTGAAAACTGAACCTATTATTCAAACTTAAGTGAATTGTGCCTTTATAGCACAGCCACTTAAGTAAACAATTAACTACCACACTGTTTTAAAACAAGCATATTATATTTAAATCAACATTATACATTTTAAACACCAGAAATCAGTTTAGATGGCTTCATCACTATCACAAGTTGTCTCTAATTTCAGAATGAAAATGACAGGAAATAGTAGACTTTTAAAGTCCAGTAAAGAACTCATCCTAAAAATGAATGCCACAATTAATTTTCACTGATTTCAAGAAGCACAAACTAACTTTTCATCACAAACAAATCTCATTTTTTAAGTTAAGCTCACATTCTCAGAAAATAAAATGCTTCAATCTGCCTGCGGTTAAGAGCTTGTTCAAAACTCTAAAATGCCACTGAAAACAAAGCCAGTACTTTGCAGCAACAAACAGTACACTCCCTTAAATCCAAATACCACAAAAACACGAAAAGAATCTCTCTGAAACACCCCAAGTTTCTTCACTTACCCAAATACTTTTTCCTCACATATCTGAGCACTCACTAAGAGAGTTACTTTGCACAAGGGAAACATTGTGTTGCCGACTGCCTACTCAGACATAGTTGCACACAAGGCACTGCAGAGCAGGCCTTCCTTCCTGCTTAACTCCCAGCCCTCCCTGTGGGAAGCAAGCCCAGTTTGCCCTGTGACTCCATCTTCGCTCAGTGCTTACATAGCTACTGACTTAGGACTGTTACTAAAAATACAGCTGAACACTAACCCAAGCCACGGAACAGGAAAGGTTTCTCTAGTTGGAGAACTACTATATGAGAAAGTTCAAGTCTTGAAAGTTCAGAATTCCTATTTAAAAATCAACATACTCCTCAATTTTTAAAGAGCTCACTTATTTAAGCTAGTTTCACTTAAACAAAAACAATCTTGAAACGTGATGTTTAATTACACTATATTGGATAAAACATACTTTACCATTTCAAAAAAGGATGAATGATGTAGTTAAAATAAAGTGTAAATGTTCAATTCTCATATAGACTGAACTCATTTTAATATATTCCTTTCTAAATGTATAACAATTTATATGTTTTTTGAAAGGACATTGAAATTTTGTTTACATTAATCAGAGCAGTCAACTTAAGGGGGGAGAAATATAGTTTTATATTTTATAGTTAAAATTTTTTTAATTTTTTAAAAGAAGGCTTACATTTGAAATTATTTCAAATAATTTCTTTTTATCTTACTGTAAAAAACCAAGATTTTTTTTAAGTTCATCTATAGAAAATCTGACAAATAAAGGCATGGTGACCACAATGCAGGAAAAAAACAGAAGTAGAAACTATGACTGCAAAAGAAATTTTAAAAAATAATCTTAAGAAGGTTTAAAATTGTTTTTAGTTTAGCCCTTTAGCAATGTCATTTATAAATTTGTATTTGTGTATTCCTACATAGCATTAAAATATCACTTAGGCTTACACAACTCTATACAGCCAAGGGAAAAATCTGCATCTACATTTAAATGTTCTGCATTCTTATTTTTTCTCAATTCAAGCAGGAGAAATTTTACTCACTCCCAAAACAAGAAATGTCAAAAGAACCACTTGATATGTTCTTAAAATGTTATCAGCACAGTGCACACAGAGTAAGAAGAAAGCAAACCAGACAAACAGGTCAGTTAAATGTTGTGGGCAATCACAACACAGAAACTGATGTGCTACTTTTGTGTTTGCTAAAAGTTGTATGAACTCCAAATTGAAAAATCTTTATGGGAACTTGAACTCAAACATGGGCATAATGGCAAATAACATTTGGAAACAAATATTCACCATGACCACAAAAGACTAATGTTCAAATTGAGACAGAGTAGGCTTAAAACTCTATGAGAATGATTGCTCTAAGGCTTTGCAGGAAGTGCCACATTTATACTTTTACCTGAGGAGCCAATTAACCAAATGTTTATATACTTTAACAGGATGCTAAGAAGGTAATGTGAAATAACATTAGCAGTTGTTTCTTAGAAAAAATTAAGAGTTCTTTGACACAATTAAAAAAATAAAATAAAGAAAACCGAAAGCAAACAAAATTACAAAATGGAAATACATCAAAACCAGTTTCTAGAATCTGATAAATAAAAAACAAAATAAATAAGACTAAGAAAATAAGTCCTTCTGAATGGGTAATACCATAGAGAATTATGGTGCCTGTGGCAAACTAAAGAAAGAACTGGTGATAAATAAGAAAGGAATTGGAAGAGTGGGAAACTGCCAAGGGAGGGCAGGGGCAAAATTGACAGCAGTGGGAAACTGCTGTGGGGGGGGGGGGAGCACCTTATCAACAAGGGTACCTGCATAATGAACATATATATACCTAACATTGAATTGTACCCCACATCTTTAAAATAAAAAATGAAAAAAAAAAACTGGTGAACCTAAAGACATCCCAATTCAAAATTGCTTAACCCAATGTACTGATCAAAACCAGATGCAGGTACAAGCCAAACCTGGCCCTAACTATGAGCTGAGAACCCCTACCCGAGAAATATCGGCCTTCTGAAGGAAGGCTCTAGCTCTGAAGGTAAAAGTCAACAGATTATAAAAGTCCTTTTACATGCATAGGAGACAGAGATAATAGCAGGACTTTTGTCTTCTGGCAAGGGGAAGAGAACTTAACATTGCTAATTGAAAAGTATGGGATATGGGAATGCCTATGTCTTACACTCATCATCATCATCATTTTTTCTAACTTTATAAAGAACAAAATGATACCAAAAGTATTCTAAATTATTTCTCTTACAACTTTAAAATCCTAAGAAGGTAAAAGATGATACAGGTAATATTTCCATATGTTACTAACAACTGGCTATGACGACAACATGGAGAAACTACACATCACAAAGCTTGGGGAAAATGTGTTTTATACGAGGCTTTACAATCAGATCAAGAAAGCTTTTAACTGAAATTTGGTTTAAAAGAAGAAAAGTTCTTATTTTGAAAAATCATAAACCTTGTTATTCCTGAACACAATTAGTGAAACCAATTAGTGAAACACAATTAGTGAAATTAATATAAGGCCACACAGTAAAAACTATTTAAAAAGGCTGGGCATGATAGCTCACACCTGTACTCCCAGCACTTAGGGAGACCGGGAAAAGAGAATTCAAGTCTAAGAGTTCACTTCCAGCCTAAGAAACATAGCGAAACTTTGTCTCTATGAAAAACCAAAAAACTAGCCACGCTTGGTGGTATATGCCTGTAGTCCCAGCTACTCAGGATGCTGAAGTGGGAGGATCCCCGGAGTACAGAAGATCAAGGCTGTCGTGAGCCATGAACGACAAGATCCTGCCACCATACTCCAGCCTGGATGACAGAGTGAGATCCCGACACAAGAAAAAAAATCTGTTGTTTATAGGTTTGCTTTCACTCCAGTAGAGGGCAACTGATTATCTTCATGTCCTGACCCTGGGGAGGGGGAAAGCTACCTACAAGGCTGATAAACATATTCTCCCTTAAACAATGGGTCTAAGACTGCATAGATACAAAATCAGAGGTTGAAGAACAGAAGTGGCTCCAATCTCCAGGGATCCCACCTCTCTCATACCGTCCAGTACTACTGTTATAATGCCTTCAGGGATTAGTAGTCAATGTCACCAAACTTGCTTTATAGGTAGAATCTATTGTAAAACATAAGAGTGGTATCTGAGATATTTTTCATACTTTGTACTCTGAAGGGACCTGAGGCCCCACCCAGGTCCATAACTCATAACAGAAAGCTGACTCTACTAATCCTGTGACACCCCTTCCAAAAACTGGCTCTGTAACATAATGAGTTTTGGGCTGGGCATGGTGGCTCAGCCTGTAATCCTAGCACTTTGGAAGGCCGAGGTGAGAGGATTCCCTGAGCCCAGGGGTTCGAGACCACTCTGGGCAACTTGGTGAGAGCTCATCTCTACAATAAATTAAAATAAAATAAAATATAATATAATATGAGTTTTGACATTCCCCATGATATCATAAACAAATCAGCAGTCCCTATTCCCCTGCCTGCCAAATTTCCCTTAAAATCTCTTCCCTCAGAATTTTCAGAAAGGCAGGTTTGAAGAAATGTCTCCCATCCTCCTGGCTTAGCTGCTTTGAGATATTAAACTTTCTCCACTTCAATGGCGTGTTGGCTGTGTTAGTCTTGTTTTATCTAGGCAGTGGGCATAAGAAAACAGTCAGGCTATTACATTGGTACTGAAACAGATAAATTTCCTGAAGAAAGATATTAACTGAAAAGTGGTTAAGGACATTACTGACTTTATATGACTATATCTCAATAAAAAGTTTGGGAAAAAAGAGGCTTTAAGACATTTAACTTGAGAGACTTGTCATCTGCATAACAATCTTTATTCATCATATATTTTCTCCCTTCACTTTCCCATAAGTGATGCCTCCATCATCCCCCAGCAGTCCCAAGCCTCTATTCTTCTGTAGCTCAGGATGCCATATAAACTGCAGTCATCTGATCCTTCTTCAAATCTCATATTTTGTGAGACTCCTGTGCCTACATACATAACTAAAATTATTTTTCTCCTGTTAATCTGCCTTATGTAAATTAAACTCACAGCCCAGCCAAAAAACCTAGAAGGGTAGAGAGAAGCCATTATCACTACCCTGTAGCAGCTTATATAAGAAGGTACATGCTACAGAAATTCATTAACCTGAGGGTTATACTATGAACGTACCAAATGCCCAGACTCTAACCTGTAGGCAATAAAAGTAGTCATGAGAAGTTCCTAAGCAAGAGAAAAAAGTAACACAACTGTCCCTTTGACATAAAAAAACTTTGAG